CATTCGCTTAGCTTGAGCATATTTTGACAGATTCATTGTCGGAAACCTACAAAACAACAATCCCTACTTCTCATTATTAATAGCTCAAGTATACTACTATTGCAGACTTCTTTCTTTGAAAAAAGAAGAATTATTCTAAATAGTGGAAGTGCATACTAAACCCATCCATTTTGGGTAGTATATATTTAAAAAATATATTTTAGTTGTTATAATTTAACATAACTATTTATTATATGGTGCAGATAAATAAATATTGATTGTCGATAATTCGCAAAGTTCTATTTTATTTACTATTTAGTTTGTTTACTATTAATATTGGCTATGAGTACGTGTGCTTGATTGTATAGTAATTTCCAGCCACTTTTAGTCTGTCAAAAAGTAACTTACTTCGCAAAAAAATAATTACTAAATTCACTAGACAGTTCGGACTGGGAATAGCGAACCGAGTATACTATTCGCTCCGTGCGTGACTGACACGACACCTACCGCCTTTTTCTGACAATTTTGGAGTCCCAATTTTCAGGTTAAACATATGACATATGTTTGACATTGTTAAATACATGCGAAATTGACAATTATTAATAAATTAGTTTTTTAACTATATTTTTTCAGTTTATGTACAAAATAAATGTAGTATTAAAAACTGGGTTTCTCAAAATTCATCATAATATATATTTTCAACTCCAAACGTAAGAGAAAGGGAAAAATCTAGTACTGACAAATCAAGTTTTTCACGCAAAAGAGCATATAATTAAAAGCAATAATAGTAAAAATTATGATATAAAAGCTAAAGTTATCTGCAGTTAGCTTGAAGCCTTATGAAATATCATTCAAGGTAAATTATTTAATTTTTTCCTATTTCAATTGCGTAAAAATGAAATTATGTGATATTTACTTTTTCATATTAATAGCAGGAATTTATCTTTTTCTTTTCTCTAATTTATATGTAATCTTTGGGAACCTATAAAAACTACACTCACTGTTTTTGCTATTATTAGCACAATTAAATCCGTACCATGTATTTGCACACATTTTTGATAAAATTTATGCGTAAAAATATTTTGTCCAATATTCCAATTTTGTCATATTTCACCGCTATGCACGCTGGCGTCGTTTCAATGTACCCCTACCATGGTCACGCACGGAGCGAATAACAAAACAAGATAAGTAAGCGCGCATGTTCTTGTGACGTAAGCCCGAGACACAGAATCCTCGAGACAACTTTAATGACGGCAAGTTAAATGATCATAAATGTTCATGTTAATTAAGTTGCTGTGTTAATCGAGTTTGCTATCCTGTGTATTTCAAAACGTAGTGAATGATATTTTTATTTATTCATTGATGCAGTAAAGACTTTCTATATTATATTGTTATATAAATTTTGTGGTGAAAACATTCAGTTCATTTAATAAAATCCCCAAGCGCTAAAACATCGCCTGAAAATAGACGCAAAAAAAGAATGGAGAAAATAAATGTATTAAAAAACATGTAAGTATTTTGGTTTTAGACACACTTTAACAGCAGAGCAAATGTTTCTATAGATAATAATATATACTAATGTCCATTTTAATAGAACTTGAAGTAATACTTTATTTGTGATAGGTCTTTAAAAAAAGTTACTTTGGATGTATGTAGTATGTAGTGAACTGGAACATATTTTTCATAGTTATAATGCCGACACAGTAAAAATAACAAAAAATTATTTAAAAAACTTAATAGAAGCTGCAAAATATGTAAATGTTAGCGAAGATGTAAAATTACCTTTTTTTTAGATGTAAAAAAAATCACAAATATTGTTAAATAAATGTCTAAATGATATTCATAAAGTCTCAAGTATGTGTCATAAGTTTTCCTTTATGGTCAAATTCTTTACATTTTACCGGCCTTTTATACTTAATTTATGTTTTGTAGCAATATTTATTTTGTTTATAATACACACAATCAAATCGTTTAGCGTAATTTTTTTTATTACGTGCTAGTCATTACGCGTCAGTATCTGTTACGATGCATTTACTTAGCATCCAAATAGTAGGTAATATACAATTTACTAGTAAGAGAGTAGAAAAAATATGATACATACAAGTCCCCTGGCTTTGTCTCGCTATGACGTCATGCGCAAAGTCGATTAAAATTAGAACGGCAAGCGAGCAAATCTTGTTGTTATAGTATTATGAGCAACAAAATTACTTAAGCAACAAAAAGGACGCCATCTGCATTGATATTTCAAAAAATGTTTCAATTCCGAAAATTGCCACTAACGATGTGTACTATACCATTTTCTTTTTTATATACAGTTTGTTCATTTTCAAATGTTCCCTGTAGACAATACGTACAAATTCATAATTCACGGAAATATCAAAAATTTAGTTCAGACCTGTGGTCGTTTTTAAAACATGCAGTTAACATTTAGCGACGTTCATAAAATTCATTACTTCCTGTTTTACTCTCGTAAAGTGAAAAGCATTCCATTCGTTGATGACTTAAACATAAATACTGTATTGTACAAAAGAATCATTAACTCAGAACAAAATATAAAGTAATATTACCGTTAACTTATGTGTAAAGAGTCCATTCAGTGATCGCAATGGGAATAAAGAAATGAAAGTGAAATGTCAAGAAATGTAGGCAAAATAATATTTAGAAAGGTCTAAAGATAAATTGAACGAAGTCGCTAAGAAGAAACTCTCAGGTATTCCCCACTCTACCAAAAAATATTAAGAAACAATCAGTTATTAAACCAGTCTTAGACTAATATAGTCAATTATGGGTATGAGCACAAGAAACGAACATTACCTTATGGAAAACTTTGAAAATTTAGCACATTAACCGCACGATAGTGTATATATCGCATTTTTTGTTTAACAAGACTATTACTGCTTTGTTCCAGTCTTTTGGAATCGTACCCATTTATTAAGTATCGTAAGCATTTATTAAACAGTTCGCTTACTGGTTTCAATAAAATTTCACCTCCTTCGCCACCAGGCGATCGATGGTTCTTCATTTCCTTTAAAGCTGCTCTTACTTCTGGCGACACAGTAATGGGTAAAAGTATTTCCGATCCCTGCTTTATGAGAGTCTTTACTCGTGTCGGGAAATTGTCTTGTCGTCTTTGGCTGGTATAGAGGTCTTTATAAAACTCTCTGGTTATTTTCAGAACGTTTTGTTTATCTGTTGTTGCCTTTCCGTCTTTATCTCTCAGCTTGTATATTTCTTTTTTACTTTGTGTGAGTTTTCTATTCATTATCTTTAAACCTTTGTTCTCTTCTACTGTTTGAGTAATTACATTAGTATTATAACTTCCTACATATTGTCTAATTTCCGCTGAAATTCTTTTATTTAGTTTTTTATATTTTTCTTTGTTTCCCTTTTCGTTCTCGCTTAGGTTTCGTCGTATTTCCACGAGAGCTTTTGTATCTTTGCTAATCTTTTCACTTTTGGTGTCATTTTTCTTGCAAAATTTGAGTTGTGCGTTTCTATCCGAGTCTGTTATTAATTTATTGTGATCGTCGATACTTAGAGGTTTGGGATTATTACTCTGTAAAGTTTCGGCCATATTTTTTATGTATGCTTCTGGATGATTTGGTGAATTCCAAATTATGCGTTTGCAACTGTTTATCATCTTTGCTCTTTCTTTTTGTAGATTTATCGTTACTCTAGCTCTTACTGGTCTGTGGTCGCTTCCTACTGATAGTTTATTGAGTACAGCGACATCTTGAATAATTTGCTTTTTGTCTGTTATTATATAATCATATTCGCTCTTAGTTCTTCCGTCTGGACTAGCCGACGTTCATTTTCTATTCTGTTTCTTCTTAAAAAAGGTGTTCATTGCATACAGTTTGTGTTGCAGTAGAAAGTTGGTAAGTATTTCGCCTCTTTCGTTTCTTACTCCGATTCCAAAGTCTCCGATTGGCACTTCTTGTTCGTCATTTTTCCTTCCGAGTTTCCCGTTAAAACCTCCCATTATCAGATTGTTATGAGCCGGTTCCTGCTTTTTTGCTCTTTCGATTTCCCCATAGAAGGCTTCGACAATTTCATCTTTGTAATCGCTGGTGCGGGCGTATACCTGGATTATTTTTAGATTGTATCTCTTATTCAGTCTTAGATTTATATACATAACTCTTGGGGAAATGCAGTCAATGCTCTGTATATTTTTCTGTAATTTTTTGTGTACTAATAAACCTTTTCCTCCAGTTGTCGATTCCGTTTCCCCTTTATAGTGGAATATGTTTCCTGATTTTAGTTTACCTCTTCTTTTGACTTCACTAATTCCTATAATATCCCATTTCACATTTTTGAGTTCTTCCTCCAGTTCTGTCATTTTTTTATCCTTAGATAAGGTTCTTACATTATACGTAATTATGTGCAACGTTCGTCGTTCTTGGTAGCCTCCTACATCCCGGGGATTCTTCGCACCCTCTACCCGCTGTCCATGAGTGTTACCGCTACCTTGGTCGGGAACTAGCGAGCTGACGGGGACTGAGGGCCGTTTTCTTGAATGTCTGTTCATGCTGAGGGGTTTTGGAATTTAAACACCACGCTTGCCAGGCGGATTGGGGAGTTGGTTTGGGAAATTGGTAGGATAGTAGGTATTGGGTAAGAATGGGGTTATGACATGATTTCTCTCCACAGGAGTTGAGAGAGAATCAAGGCTCGCGTAGGGCAGGATCGCATTCCTGAAGTAAATCTATCCTCCACTGGGATTGTGGAAGAGTACCTACCCGCTATCACCTATCGAGCCCTAGGTGACTTGATATGCTGGAGTATCTCCCAAAAATTTTCGTACACATCTGGAGGTTGAGAGTAGTACAGGTTTCTGCATGGTTTTGTAGAGATGTTCATTCAGACCTAGCTTTTTTATGTTTCCTAGCAGGTTCTTTGGAATGACTCCAGTGGTAGAGAGAATAATAGGTATTGTCTGGGTACTTTCCATTACATTATTATTATTATTATATGCAAAACAAATTCTTTAGTAGAAATCATTGAATAATAATTAGACTTACCTCAGGATCGGTATTATCTCTGAAACTCGTCAAAGCCTAGAAAGAAATATAAGTTGTAAATTAAAAAAATAATAATAATAAAAATAAATGAAATAGATAAACGATAACATTACGAATAATGAAAAAAAACTTGCGAATAAAATTATAGACCATGTATTTTATAACTACTAAGAGTAAACAACGAAGACAAAAGGAGGAATAGGAGAAGGAGGGGCGTATAAAAGTAGAGGTTAGAGAAATCATAAATAGTTTATCTCAGATTCATGAAAATTTCAAGTTAGAGGTACGTTTTCAATTAAACTTAATTTAAAAACTACAATATATTGTTTACTTTCGCATATAAAGTAAATAATTGTTTATGCATTACTTCTTTATATAAGTGGTGTTGATTTCATAGGGATTTCGAAATAAAAATGGTCATAACTTGTTAAATACTCTGTATAGTAATGCAAAACCCCATATTATAAGAACAATAATTATGAGAAAAGTACAATATTAAAAAAATATCTAGGGTATTCCATTTAAAAAATTGTATGTTTGCTATACCACGTAGTTATTAATCACTCTGTAGAATTCCACATATTTTCCAAGTATTGCCAACAAAATAGTTTTTGAATAAAGAAGTGTAATGCAAAAAAATGAAGCCTTCTACCTTGGTAAATTACATTCTATTATTAGAACAGCTTATTAGAATAGTTTTTATTCCTAAAGAAATGTAATAGCACATAAAGAAATTAATAAATAAATATAATAATTAACACGAAAACTTACATCTGAAGATTTAGAAAGTCCTTTCATGCTTAGCAAATTCGACTTTTTACGATTTTTTTTCTTAGTTTTTGGGTCTTTAAACTCAAGTTGTTCTCGATTAACATTTTTATCAAACCGATTTCCTTTCACCAAATCTTTAAAATTCATACCATAACTAACTTTTAAATTTCTGTTTAAAGAACCAAAATAGAGTCTAGGATCTTTAACTTCAATATCATCAGGTGAATTACCTACGTAATACTTGACTTTATCCACATGTACATTAAGATTTTCTTGATCTCTTTGATCTTGTTCATTCCGTATTGGATCCTCCAATTCCTTGATAGTTTCATTTAAAGATGCCAGTTTTTCATTAAGTTGGTTTATTAATGTTTTCTTATCAAATGCGTTTTCTTCTTTATTATCGTTACATGTTTCAACAATATCTGTATTGGATATAGTTTCCCCCTTTTCGTCCTGTTCGGTAACGTCATTTTCTATATTTTTACTAGGTAGAAAATGAAAATTTTTATCGTCAATTAAAATATTATCAAAAGCTCGGATATTTTTTCTCCGATTTCTGTCTATAGTACTTTCTCCATCACTTTTTTTTCTTATATTAATATCTCCGTCGACTGTAAGCACAAAATTTGGCAAAGGTAATTTATTGTCTTGATTATTGTTATCCGCATCTTTTTGGTCTACAATAACGTCACCTTGAAAATTGCAGCCCTCTTGTTTACTTATATCTACGCTAACTTCATCAACCGTAATATTACCTTCATCTAGGTTAACGTTTTTATTGACAACATCACTATCACTGTCACTATCTGCAGATGCACTTGTATAACAGGATGAACTGGAGTTTTCTGTGTCTTCTAGAATCGGAAATGAACTAAGATGCTTAATTTTGAAATCAGCCCATTCGCCCTTGATTTTCCGCATTTTAAGAGGACTAGAAATCATATTTTTAGTTATTTTAACTTTCTGTTTATGTTCCGTTTCCACCAACAAGCTATCTAAACTAGAAGCCTTCTTCAAACCGAATTTAGGAAATATAGAAAACTTTTCGATAAATTCATCATCATTTTCGTCTGCGTACCAAACCGATCGTGTATTAAAAAGGTTCTTTCTATTAGATCTTTTATTTGAACTTAAATTTGACTCTCGTCTCTTGGCAGCCATAACTATGGAGTTAAAGCACCGATTTTTTCACAAATAATTTCCTAGTCGAAAAAAAATATTCCGAAAAGATGTAAGAATTTGTCGAACAACACACAACTAGACATAAGTACTTATTATATGATTGCAACAAACACATCGTTTTATTTCGTATCTCTGTTATCTCTGATATAGTGATAAACATTGTGATATATTCTGGATGTACTTTACTTCGAATTATTTTTGTGAATCATAATTTATATATCATTACTGTTGGTACATGATAACAGCTAGGAAATATCCTAACTAAAATATAGTAAACAATTTTAAAACATTTAAATACGGGGGCCCTTCTATAAATTCGTATACTCTGAAAAAAAAATGGAGAGGGTGATTCACTGTTAACCCTACAGCAGGCGCGCCGACTACCGTTTCATAACCGGGCGCGCTGTGTATTTTGTACACAAAACACATTTTAGTTGATTTTACCAAATTTAGTGCGTTTTAACAAAATGACAACCACGATTTACAAAAATAGTTTATTGTTACATAAAATAATAAACATAAAACATGTACCTACGGGTTACTTCACTCGATTTCTTCTGATTGCTGCCGTTCATTGTTCTTACATTTTACGCAGGTAATTGTGGTTTCTGAATGCATTTTACATACAAATATTCTACATAGCCCACATCTAACTGTTGTGCTGGAATTTTTTGAGCCTGGACATATTGCACAACGTCCACGTTTTCTAGAGCTTTGCACTTCTGTTCTAGTAGGTTCTTCATTATATGGTATATTTCATTAGAAAAACTTGAATATCCTGAGGAAGATATCGCATTGTCGCTCTTTCTGAAATATGTACTTTCATTAAACTCAAGCTTAAATTCTTTAGAAAAATTCGGCGATATATTTTGGGATTTGTTTTATTGGCACAAAACAACACCTACGCATTGATACCCACCATATCCATTAGAGAAAAAAATATAATTAGTGACCATCTTCTGGTTATTCTTTTTACAGAATATGATGCACACATTTGGTCAATAGTATCCTCACTGCCTTTTGTGGCATTATAATCTAGAATAATTTCTGGTTTTTTAATTTCGACGTCTACGGTGGCAGTGTCATGCATCGTGGATAAAAGTATGACCGACTTACTTCTTTTTGGAACAAATGAAACCAAAGTGACATTTTTCTGGAATCCAAAGAGTGACGTTCCCACTTCTTTTTGTTTTTGGGGTAAAAATTCAATAGGTATTTCCCTTTTGTTTTTTCTCAAAGTGCCGATTGTAGTTATTCTATTTTCCAAAAGGGAAATAGCTAAAGGATAACTGGTATAGCGATTATCGGTTGTCAAATTGCGATTTGAACCTTTTATATAATCAATAAGCCTATCTACAATATCACTGGGAGAGTTTGATACAGCATAAGGCCCCTCAGGTTGCCGTTCACAATAAACCTCTAAATTTCCAACAAAGTAAGTTTGTGCATCGCCCAAAATGAACAAATTTTGCTGGTTTATTTCGTAAATACTGGATGAAACTACAACGTCCTCTGAATCCCTCTAGTTTTTCGTCTATTATAACAAATTCACCAAGATTATAGGAATTTTTACAGTTACTAACAAATGCGTTAAATATTTTTCTAATTGGTACAAGTTTGTCATATATTTTCCGTTCATGTCTTGTGGTTTTGTCATCAAAGCGCATTGAACGTAACAAAAATAAAAATCTTTTGTAACTCATTACAGCTCTAAGAATTTCTATACCTGTTCCATCAAATGTCCAAAGTTCAAGTGCGTTAGTATGGTTAGCCTTTTTAGTGCCTAGGAGGTAAAGCACTCCCAGTAACGCCATTATTTTACTTTTTGAAGTATATTTCATATCTCGTTCTCTTTTATATTGAACAGATTCTTTTTTACGATCAATGTACAAATTAGTAAATTGTACGATGTTCTGTAATATATCAGAATCTATAATTTTTTCAAAAGCTGAAAGTTCTGAGGTCACTTTTGAAGCCTTTGGTCCTGGAAGTATTTTGATAATATTTTTCTGTTTAATTTTTGATCGCGACGACAGCGGAGTCTTACGCCATGCAGTTTTTTATCTTTACCTTGAAAATATTCGAAAGCAGTCGTACTTACTGCAGTATTATCCTCGAAGTTACTGGCTCTGTCGTGGTCATTCTATTCTTGTTCAGATTCAGAATTGTGGTCATCATGGTGTATTATTTCTTCATCTGTCTCAGATTCATCGGAATATTCTATTTCACTAGTTTCTGTTTCTGGGTCTTCATTAAGAATTTTATATAACTCAATCTCAGTTAAAAACTTCTTTCTAGCCCTGCAAAAATAAAAAAAGTAACACACAAATAATATAACAATGCAACTAAATTCTTACATGATATTCTCTCAGCGTAGCCGTTATATTCCTTCTCAATTATGTTACAATATCTTGTTCAACCTAAAATAAAGTAAAACTAAAGTTAATTTGACTTTAATTTCGAATTACAACTTTTTATAAAGTAAAATAATTAATGGATAAAATACTTACACTAGAAGGCGCGCCGTGTATTATGTACACAAAACTGTTACACTCTCGTATTTCTAAGAATTCTCACAAAACTCAGCTGCAACAAAAAATATTACTCAACTATTCGAACGACAGATCTCTACTGGACGAATAGACGCGACGATATCGCCAGATTGACAACACTTCTATTTTTAGACGACTTTTTCTATAATTGGACGTGTACAAAATACACGGGCGCGCCCGCTCGAGGGTTAAGAACTGATTTTAGAATTGCCAACTGCTGGGAAATTACCCAAGTCCAGCTGCGTCGTTATTTCATTGTTTTTATGATTAAATTATTTTCTTCTTAGGGTGCCTGTCCATTCCGAACGTTAGCGATCCATTCTGGCTATGCTAACGTTGTTGGTTGCTATACGAAATAGCTGTGTTGAGGTCTTTCTATACCATGCTCTCAGGTTAGCAAGCCAGGATATTCTTCTTCGCTCTGGGGCTCTTTTTCCTTCAATTTTACCTTGCAAAATGCATTGGAGTAGTTCATTTCTCATCTCTCATCTCACGTCCATCTACAAACCGCCAAACGCTGACTTTGCTTTTTGAGGAATCGGATAACTTTCAATCACAGCAAATAAAATTCATACTGGATGACTTCAACTGTCACAATATCGCGTGGGGGTATAACGAAACAGACTCCAATGGCGAAGAACAAGAAAATTGGGCTGAAAACATAAACCTCAAACTTAATCATGATCCAAAACTCGCGTCTTTCAACAGCGGAAGATGGCGCAGAGGTTACAACCCAGACAATATATTTGTCAGCGACAGGATTGGAGACCGGGTGACAAAAATTGTTGGAAGCGCCCTCACAAAAACTCAGCACAGACCAATAACTTGCTTTTTGAACTCGGCAATCAGATACAAAAGTGTTCCTTTCAAGAGAAGACTTTCAATAAAGTAAAATGCGAAAAATTCGCTGAAAGATTAGATCAAGAAGTTTCCCAGCTAGAACCGCGCTCTGATTCATACAAATTTTTACAAATCGTAAAACAAATATCACGAAAATATACTCCTAGAGGTTACCGAACCCAATACATAGCGGGGCTAAATGAAGAATCTAAGCTCCTACTTAAACGATACTAGCAGCTATATGAAGACGATCTCTCTTTGGAGCAACAATACAGGCCTGGGAGAAAATACTACATGCGATATCCGCCAACAGAACGGACAGGTGATGCAACCTGGTCACGAGTCTAGACATGAAACAAAACAGCAGACGCGATTGGAAATTAATTCGGAATCTTGGCAACAACCCCGCCGCCCAGGCACCCAATCTGACAAAAGTCACACCCGATCAGATAGCCCATCGTCTCCTGCCAAATGGTAAGACGATATCAAGGAAGAACAAAGTGAGAGAACAACGAAATATCAATGAAGAAGAGGATGTCCTAGGTACCTCCTTTTGTCTGGAGATGAGAGGTGCGAACCACCAAATGACCACTCAAGCTACCGGCCTAGACGATATATGAACAGAACAAATAAAGCACTTTGGACCAAAAACCCTAGAGTGGCTCGTAAAAATGATGAACTGTTGCGTCCGTACATTCCAAATCCCCAAAATCTGGAGGAAAGCTAGAGTAGTGGCCCTCTTAAAACCAGGAAAGGATCAGACGGATACAAAGAGTTTTAAACCTGTCTCTCTTGTGTGTCACCTTTCATGGCGTTTGAAAGAATGATACTGAACAGGATTGCTGCATCTGTGGATACTAAAATTATTCCTCAACAAGCAGCATTTAGATCTGGAGAATGCTGCTGCAGTTAAACCCTTAATCTCACTCAACATATTGAAGATGGGTTTGAACAGAAAGAAATAACAGGAGTAGCGTTCATAGACCTGACTGCCACCTATGACACAGTTAACCATCAACAGCTGCTGGTAAAACTCTACGAAATTACAAAGGATTTCCGACTAATAAGGGATTACCTCTTTTGACAAGGGATAAGTTGCAGGCCATGGCCTCAACCCTCCTTCTTTATCTGGGCTTGGGACCCGCACCTGCATTTACTGAGCTACTCAATCTACCCAGCACTTACCGGAGGCAGAGTTATTTAGTTTATATAATAATTCAATTTACTATCAAATGGTATTTATTTATATTTTTATAATTTCATATAAATATAATTTCATATCAATAAAATTAGTAAAACATTTTAAAATTTTCATATTTATACAGTCACAGCAGATAAGTACATTTGTGTGCCTAACAAGGAGATAGCAGTTAGGTATACAAAATGTCAAAACTGACCATCATTTGTTATTTTGATATTTAAAAGGTTTCATATATATATTTTTTTTATTTAAAAATACAGAAACATAATATGAATCTTCATGCTAGTCTACACAACTGCCTACTGTAACAATTTGTTTTATTAAATTTTTCACTGAAATCTAGCATTGCATTTAAATGACCCAGAGCGAAAGGGTAAACTGCTGTAGAGTCCATTTTTGAATTAATCCCCTTAACAATCAAATTGTCCCCCTGTTGGGAAACACTGCTCTATCATAAATGTATTCAAAAAATTTGTTACAAATGTTCATAAATTAAAAAATAAAAATAAATAAATAATCCTATTTTTTAGTAAAATTCAGTAAATTTTAGTAATGATAATCAAAATTTACAAAAAAAATATCAGCAATGGTACATCTGATATCAGTGTTACAACTTTTGTGCTAACATCTCTTGTTATCTACTATGTTTTGCGGTTAATTGTGGTTAATTCCCGTTATATACTGTAGATAATAGAAATACCACAAGAAAATAGTTTCAGTACCAAATAATATTAATAGCACAAAAAATAATAAAATTGCGATTCTGGAAAAAAGTGTTAGCACTATGTCTTATGTTTTCAACTACAAAGGTAAAGCACAAGCTTGTCTAAGAGTTTCCATAATTTGGTTCAGATTCTGGTCCATCTATTTATCTATGTAATCAATGGGAAATACACATCATTCATTTTTCTATTTCTTCTGTTTGGAGTCAATTGAATGCATCTGTCTGTTATTCGAGGTCATCTAGCCATCTCTTATCTTCATATATATTTTGAACTGCCCTATAGTTTTGTGAAAATCCAGTAGGTAATATTTATAGGTAGTATACTACACTTAGTAAATATCCACAAAAGGTTAAAAGATTAATAGAATAAAATGCTCATCCCAAAAGATGTCCAGTATACTCTATTACTTGCTGCATGTATGTCCTTTGCTACTGTTAATATAAGATTTTGCTTAATTTATTGCATAATTTGTAATGACTATGGTTTTATTGCTGTTTTAATACTGTTAGAATTATTATTAAATTTTTAATCATTTTGGCCCAACAAATAAATTTTGTTTTATTCCAAAAAAAAAAGATCTATGAGGATGTAAGTTGTTACGAATATTATTTATTTGTATAAAATGTATTTAGTTCAATTTTAGTTTTATCATGTTACATAAAATTTCCCGTTGCTACTGTTCCGAAAATTATGTCAAATATAATATAAAAAACGTCAATAAAAACTGTCACCCAGGGAAAAATTTAAATAATTTAAGAATTTAGCAGACAGCAAGAGAACAAGAACAGAATTTGAGTTGTTTTTACGCAAATAAAACAGATAACTACAAATCCGTCAATTGCTGTCTGATCAATACAGATAAATTCCCAACATAAGTATTGTTCTAAAGAAAGATTAAGACTACTAATCCAAATCATACAAGCATACCCCATATTTGTTCATTACAGTGTAACTAAGTAGTCATTGGTATTTGCAGCTACATCGTAAAGTAGAAAAAGAACCCAGATATGAAATACATTGCTATTGACACCTATAATAATTAGTATCCGGGTAAATTTAACATTTAACTATTTTCTGTATTCGTAATGCTTCAAACATTTCAAAATTTATTTCAGCATATAAGAGAAAAGACACTATAGAAATATTATTAAGTATTGAGAAAAATCTAATTATAGACCAAACTCACTATTGTCCTCTTCATCCAAAATTATAGAAGCTTGTGTTAACTTGTGAAATATTTGTTATTATGTTCACATCCAAATTTTGGATTTGAATTCCATATGGTTGTATATAACTTAATATAACTTCAGCCACAGTGGACCTAGTCACCAACATTTTAGACAGACTAAATAAAGGAAGCAATTATGCACTATTCTCTTTAGATCATAATCCAATTACTGCTGCAGTACATCACTTAACATATTCTACTATGCAGAGTTTTACAAGACATCATCATTGAATGATCCTCGTTTTAGTAGATGTGAATTCAATCAGCAAATTGTGAATTCAATTACAATTATTATATGCTGATCACACCTGCCTCTTATGTCCTATATCAAAAAAACAAAAAAACATGTATTTTAATCAATGATCTCTCTTTTAAAGGAGTAAAAGGGAAGACCTGGTGGAAGGAGCTTAGACAGGACATGTCCTTTATGGGGATTAATATTGGTAGGGCCACAGAACCTTATGGAGAAATACAATTAAGTCAACCAACCCTGTCTAGGGATACCTAAAGCCAAAGAGAATGATAATATTCTAGTGAATTATAGTGAATGGTAAATGTTAGTTATTTCTGAATGTACAAATTTGTTTGTGATGAACCAATCATATTCCAAATTTAATATTACAATAAAATAGTAATTAAAAAATAGATTTAAAAACTCACCTTCTTAAAATCCAGTGACAGTGATTTTCGCTTGGTTGCAGTTGAGATATCAGCACTTTTTTGATTATGAAATTTATTTGGAGATGTTATTTCCAAAAATTCTACCGATCTAGACTTTCTGTTTTCCAATTTAGCTTTTTGTTTTCTATAGTGACTGTTGTTTGTCAGTTCATTTATTAAATTAGCAGACATAGACGTTCTTCTAGACAAAGGAGCAAAACTGTCTGAACCATTTTTTTGCTTGGAATTGGCTGAAACAGGTCGATTTGCCGAAGTCCCGGGCACTAATAAACTTACGGAAGAATTGTCTTCATGTTTTACTTTGTTCCTGAAGTATAAGCTGGATGTACGCCGCGGAGTAGACATTTTTAAGTAGCATAATCATAAAATAGTTAATAAAAATACTTTATTCGTCGTAGATAGATAACACTTCGCATGTAATTTTCAATCAATTGTTATCACTTTTTATCTTATGTTTATCGTTTTGTGTTATGTTCAATATTATTTATTTTAAACCAAACCGCTGTGATCTTGTCAACAAACTGTCAAGTACGTCACTGTCATGTCATGTGATAATATGTCAATGTCAAAATACAAAGCGTCTTCCTTATACAGGGTGAGTCCTAAAGTGGACAAAAACAGTTCATAAGTCAAAAATAATATTTTACTGAGTCTAAAATCGTTTGTCTGAGCTATAGGTTGTTAAATTAGTCAATTTAATATATATTTGTGTTTTAGGATCAGTTTTTTTAGATATCTATATAAAATATCAAAATCTCCATAGGATTCAATTTATATCAGCGAGATGCGCCAAGTATAAGCAACTTGCAGTGTTGCTCCAATTTTAATTTTTCTTTATACTGTACTAGGTACTAAGATATAAAATTATTTATTTTGCACTCAATGTCTTATTTATTAATATAGATCGACCATTTCGTTTTCTACAACTGTGTTCTTACTTTGTTTAAGAAAGTTGTACATAACTATTTTAAAAGGTAATTTTTGAAATTGGCCTTTCTTATAACCACTAATTTGCCAGATTAATATTCTATTTATTATAAGCTAACTTATCCGAAACTATTTACTACGTGGACGGAGATAGATTTTATTTAGGTTGTAAACCGATTGCAGAGAAACTAATTGTCAAGCCTCTCACATCTTAACGTTTCTAAATGGAGAGGATATCAGTGCCTCCACAGGTTTCTAGAAAGTGTAAATACCTTGTTAGTATTGAAATTAGTTCAGTAGAGTGAACGTGTACGTTTTATTTCAACAGTTAAAACGGATGACGTTTTCCATGTTCAAGGACTAGAAAAAATTTAAACTAGGCTCTGGGTCATTACTTTAATTTTGTTTTATTGCCGTTATTAACGGCTGACATTTTATAAGAATATATAATTTGATGAATTTGTTTGCGGAAGTTGCATTTGTTTGCATCTGAACTTTTTGGTTTCAGTCCAGGATATTCGCTACAGGAAACAATAGAGGTTTTTTTTAAGACAATGAAAATGTAGCCTCAGAAAAAATCTTTGTTGATGAAGAAGATAAGTTTGAGATTAGTCTTATATCCTTACCATCGAGTCCTGATGTTTTTAGTATATTGGTTAGTTTCCCATGCGGAACTTTTATGTTAAATGCCTTCTCGAAATTAATGAAACATTTATATACATGGCAGTTGACATCCCTGGCTCTCTGTATGAGAACTTGCAAATTGAAAGGTGCTTCTCTCGTTCCAAATCCTGCTCTGAAACCAAATTGAACTTCAGGTAGGTGTTCTTCTACTTGCACGAGTGAATAATAGCAAGGATTATTTTAGTACATGGCTCTTCAAACAAATTAGTCTGTTCTTCACGTTTCCTAGCTTTGGCTTTTTTGGAAAGTGGAATGAATATTGATATTAGCCAGTCTTTTGGTAGTTCTTCTTCTTATAGTGCCGTGCACCTATAGTGCGTTTGCGAATTATCTTAAGGCCAGACGTGTCTTTTGCGGCATGCAAAAGATCGCCAGTGTTATTTATGCCTGTCCAGTTCTTTATGTTCCGTAGCCACGACATTTGTTTGCGACCTACTCCTATCTTACCTTCAATCTTTCCCTGGATGATTAGTTGAGGGATTACGTATTTTTCCCCTCTCAGAATATGGCAGAGATATCCGATTTTTCGTACCTTGATTAAATTGAGTAGTTTTTTCTTAGTATTTGCTTCTTAAAACTTTCTCGTTTCTTACCCTATCTGTCCATGGTATGCGGAACGTCCACATTTCGAAGGACTCCAACTTATTAATGGAAGTACTCTTAACGTCCATGTTTCCAAGCCCTATAACAATATGGACCATACATAACATTTAACCATCCTGTAGCGGAGATTGAAGGAAAGATTGCGGTTATATAGTACCGGTTTAAATTTGATAAAAGCTTGTCTTGCTTGTTCTCTACGGCATTTTATTTCCTGTGGAGGATCCCGTTGGTCATTCATCAGCATTCCCAAGTATTTAGATGTTTTCACATGATCGATTGGAGCGTGATCTACTTGCAGTTGTATTCTTAAAAGCGCGTTTTGTCTTATTGCCATGCATTTAGTTTTTCCAGCATTTATCTTGTCTGTTATTATCGCGGTGTCATCGGCGAAACGAATGTTATTTATCGGGAACCCGTTTACCTTTATTCCACACTTAGAGCCTTCCAGTGCCTCTGCAAAAATGTTCTCCAAATAGAGATTGAAGAGCATAGGAGACAAAATACACCCCTGTGGCACCCCTCGTTAACATTTCCAATTCTTCTGTGTTGGTTGATTTGTTCAATCTCACTCATGCTTTTTGATTCCAATGGAGATTCTGGATAACTCTTATATCTTGCTCGTCAATGCTAGCGTTGTGTAGCATTTTTATCGTTGCGTCACGTTTTTTCATAATCGGGGAATGTTATGACTATATCCTTTCTTTGATCCATGCAGTTTTGTACAAACATATTCAAGCAGAAAGCTGCTTCACGTTAGAGTTGACAAAGTCAGTTCCATCAAGGGATCAGGTGCAATGACTCCGATTCCGACTGCAGACTCGGTTCATTTTTGCAGGTGCATCAAAACTTGATTCGAAGGAATTGGTTGCTCTGCACCTGCCTATTGACAAAAGACGAAATAGGTCCAACGTGTCACGGCGGCGAACTCGGTTCAAAAGAATAGGTGCACCTTTTGACAGTCATCTCTACTTCACGTGTACCCAGTCCGCTCTTGAAACCAAATTTTGTCGTCCAGAGTTTGGTAGTCCACTCTCGTGGATGTTGTTGAATAGTTTCCTAAGAGCTGTGATTTGGTGTGCATCAAATAGCTTTAAAATTTAACCATGCAGTTTATCAGATCCTGGTGATTTCCCATCTTGAATGGCCATAGTTACTTCTTTGCTTATTTCTGAGCCATAGGGATTGTATATTCTAGGCGGTCTTCTTTCTGTATCTTCCAATAATTCTGACGTGTATTCTTTCCATCTTCTTAGAAAAATTAAAATCTGGTCTGTAATACATTGTTTTCTGGTGTTATGTACCTCTTTAATATATTTGTGCATAGGTTGTGGGCTAATCTACCCGCACGAAAGCCATTTTGTTCTTCTACATCTGTCATCGCTTTTTCAATTTTATTATTTATTATTTTTCCATACAGTCTTGAGAGTGAATTTATGACACGTAGTCCCCTGTAGTTTGAAGAATTCTTTCCATCTTCTTTTTTGTATACATTGTTAATATGAGCTCTTGTCCACTCCGGTGGACATGCTCTTTATAGAATAAGGTGAAGACAAACGCCAGTAATTCCCGCAATACTTGTGGGCTGTTTTAATAATTCGTTCGGCAATATATTACTGGTAAAAAATATATAAATCTTATAAAAAAACAAAGACAAATTCACAGTGTGATTTTATTGTTGGATAAAACGGTATACAATGTTCATACATGTGTAAGTCATAAAAAATTACCTATGATAAACAACTATAAATTACCAACTTCATAGTTAATGCAAATTAATAAATTCAAGTCTTTGTGATTAAAATAAATCATTCTCTTAATACCTCGGCCCATCACGATTTTGTGAGCGCCCCCAGTAATTATCTGAATTATTGTAGCGGCCACCTCCATTTTTTTCTAAAAAAAAAAAAAGATTATTAGTAAATAGAAATGTATGTAGAATAACAAGGAAAACTGTTAATTTTTTCTTCTGTTTACTACTTGTCATTATATTTTAAGGGGTCAACAGAAAAACATCTTATGTTACATTTTTATTGTTTTTGAACTGACAAATGTAGTCTAAACGAAAATGTCTTTATCTGTCAAAACAAACAGCCTATATCTAAGGTCACTGAGTTGTTCTATTTTTAAAATACAGATACTGGGTAAAAATAACCAATGTCTGGATCATTCAGGGAAAAAACAACTGTTTTCCATAATCAATTGACTGTCTTAAAAGTAATATACCAGAGAAGCAGAAGATGAATGACCAATTTACAATGACCTTTAAGATTATTTTTTAGCATTGCATTCTGATTGTCATTGTTGAGTCCAAGTATTTTTTTGTTTGCGGACTCGGGACATCCAAGAGATAATTATATGAAAACAAATAATTTAAATAACGATTCAATATTACATTATTGCCACAGATTTTCCTCCTTTCTCCTTTATTTTGTGCCTTAATGTTCCAATTTCTTAACATTTAACTTTCCTAAATCTTCCTATTCTTAATGCAATCTTTATCACTTTAGTTTGATACATTCTCTTTACATGGTCCAGCCACCTTATTCTTGAGACGTCTTCTCTCATGTTTTAACTTTGTTTAGGCTGAGGTGCCTCTTCAAGGATGGGTTTTGTGATTGGGAAATGTCAGCTTCTGTGTATTGCTGCTCTCCTCAAGCTATGTGGTGGCTACCTACCTTTATGGATGCCGGTTGGACCAAGCCCGCTACTAAGTACAAGTTCCATTGGAAAAACGGTCCTTTTTAGATTATTGGCCTTTTGTTTTGTTCAGTTTAAACGCGTGGAAGATAGCTGGGGCTTTATCCTCACTTAGGATCAGATATCGCTGTGTAATGAGATTGGGAAACCAGCGCAAGGAGTGTAAGGGGTGCTCGCTGTTTTATGTATGTGAGTTTTGTATAGGTATTGGTTGCGTGTTGTTATTTGTTTCTTGTTTTAGTGTTTGCATGTTTATTGGTTTGTGAGCTTATGTGGATGGTAAAGTATGTGTGGCTAAATAATAAATGCATATTATATGAGTGAATGAGTGTGTTGTTTGTGTGTTTATGTGTGAAGTTGAGTGAAGGAATTGTTGTAACAGGAGGTAAATATGGCATATCCATAAAGAGAATTGGACATTTGGTATAAACAGCGGATTGTGTCACGTGTCTTTCCAGGGTAGACATTAAATAGGATCATGGATGTGAAGTAGATTAGGGATTTTATGTTTGAAGATAGGTAGTATTAAGGAATTTGCCTAGGAGTGTGTACGAGTTGTGTTTGTTTTATGTCTTTTGGTTGGATTCTTCTGTGCAGACATTTTTGT